GCTCCGCGGAGCCGCCTCCGGCCTCCGGTCCTGGAGCCGCGGGCCGCGGCCGGCAGCGGCCAGCCTTGCAGCGGGTAAGGACCTCGCGCCGCCGTCCCCCGTCCCTCCTCCGGCCGCCCGCTTCTCGTGACCTGACGGCCCAAGAGGTCTTTTCACGGGAGGCGCTGCGGTTGGGTCGGGGCATAAAACCCCACATTTTGCCTTGCCGCACCCAGGGCCTGGCGTCTTTTGCGGCGGCTGCCTGTTCCCCGGGATCGTGTCCCCGAATCCAGATGAATGGCGTTCAGCGCCTTTTCGAGATTTGGGTCGGGGTGGGGAGACCTTGGGGTAAAGAGAATAATATTTGCGTCCGGGGAGTGCTCCTTTGGAGTGAGTGAGGGCTCAGGGGACAAGCGGGGGACCCCGCCCCCACCCCTGCGACCCCTGGCCTTGCAGCGCCCGCTGGCTTTCGCTCCCCTGGGGTGCATCCAGGGTGAGCGCCCCTGGGGCTGCAGGGCCTGATTTTTGTTTAACCACCTTCATCGTACAAGGTGGTTTTACACAAGTGGTGTCCATGCAAACCAGGTGGTAAGTCATTCCAGCAAAGTTTTGACTCAACCCTTGACCCTCCGAGGCGGGCTTCCCACCGCCCCTTCTTTGCAACTGTGCTACCTGAAGATGGCACTTCTGTCCAGTTATTAACCAAAATCTTTTAAACGTCTCCAAAATTGTGGCCTGAACCTATTCTTCCTCCCGCTCCCCATAACATTATAAATTATGGAAGCTAACCATTAACATAGGACCAGGCAGGTTTTTTAGATCAACAGAGAGAAAAAGCTTTTTCATTTTTCAGGTGAAGAACCTGAGTCCCTTGGGCAAGTGAATTAGGGCATCGATCTCAGCAGGATCTAGGGTTAGTCCCGGCTCCTTCCCTGTCCCTGGATTTCCTACCACACCAGGATTCCTCTTCAACTGAAAACTTGGATGATTTGTGGGGACACTGCCATTGTTTTCCTGTAAAAGTGTGAGAGTCGCACTGTTTAGCAAGCTCATACTCAGGATTTTTAAAAAGCTTTGGTGGTATTATTATATATCTTTGATTAAAAAAACAGGAGGCTGGGAGTTGAGTTCTTAATAGCTCCCTTTCCTCCCTCAGTAAAAGCTAAGCAGAAGAGTGAATTTCCTCCCTGCCTTGAGAAGGGCAGGCTCCTTGTGATGCAAGAGAACAGATGTCTGATACAGAATCACAGTAACAAGATACAAACTCACAGAATCTGCCAAACTGGAGTGTAACTGCTAGTTGAGCTTATGTTCTGAGCTACAAAAAAAATGCCCCCCACTTTAGAAATACTTTAAAAAAATTCGATTAGTCACTTTTCCACAGTAGTAAATGTTGCACCAGTTTCCACATGAATGTGCAATTCTTTGGGTTTTGATTAGCCAAGGAAGACATATGTGCTGTTTAGTGGTTTTATAAGGTGTTCAAATGGCATTTTAATGAACTCTTGATGCACCTTTTGGGATTATGAAAGTTATTACAGTTCATGATAGAAGAGCCTGAGGCTCAAGGCTATAATGGTCTCTGTAAACTGGCGTGCTGTTCCACAATGCTGGTTAGACAACTTTAGCGCGTGATCTTGTTCCTTAGATTCTTTAGCCCAAAGATGTTCTGAATATTGATTTATGATAAATTTTAAGTAGTTCTCTTCGCCATGATTGTTTAAAAACACTTGAGCAATTGTTTTTACTCTGGAATTGTTTTAAGTGTTTCTGTTAATATTAGCTTACTACCAAAGTGTTAACTTTTTTGACATCAGAATCTTAAAAAAAAAATCTACATGCAAGTTTGGAGTCTGGGGACATTAAAAAAAAGAACCATGTTCAAATAGTAACACATTTTTGTTCTGAATTCTGTGGGTTATTTATCCCCATGGTATATTTAAAATATTTATATCATATGGATGGTGGTAATATAAAGATCCATATAAGTATTTACTATTTAGAAAAATGAGCCCTTAAATTTGGCAGTTTATAGCACATCTTAATTTTAAAATATTTAAAGTATCAAAAAGAAATAGAAAAATGAGCAATATTAAACTATATATATATTGCTATTAGAGCACCATTTAATAAAAGTAAGTTTTGTATTTTATCTGAAAGTAATTAAATTTAGTTTTAGACTTCTTTATACACATAGGCCCTCTATAGTCATTGTGACTCATCAGCATGTACATGGAAAGGTAATTTATATCAGATCATCTTAAAATGACCACCTGACCAGAGGTGGATTGGGAAAATTAACCAGTGTCATGTACAGAAATGGGCATAATTTTTTTTATTGGCCCTTTTTGTGTGTAAGAAATATACTTTTAAAACAACACATAGCGTAAATATATAATAGCATTTCTTTCCCTTTCACAAATTAGCTTGTAGGGATGCACATGAAGCTCTGAAAAGTTACACATGGCCCTGAGACCAAAAATTGATCTTAAACCTGCGAAATTATATAGGGAGAATATTTATTTCTGAAATAACTTGACTCAGCCCTGGCCAGGTACCTCAGTTGGTTAGAGCATTGTCCTGATACACCAAGGTTGCGAGTTTGATCCCCCGGTCAGTGCACATACAAGAATCAACCAATGAATGCATAAATAAGTGGAATAACAAATTGATGTTTCTCTCTCTCTCTTTTTCTCTTTTTCTTTCTCTCTCTCAAATCAATAAATTAAAATTAAAAAAATGAAATAACTTGACTCAAGCCATGAAGGCTTTTATAGAATGAGTCACCATCCTTACTTTAGTGAATCAATGTTAAGCAAATAGAATGCTTAGAACAATATTATGCAATAAATTAGGACACAAAGTGAATGTACAACAATCTCATGATGTAATAGAAACATACATTCAAAAGACAGTGATTATTTTTGTGTAGTGAGAGTAACTTTTTCCCTGTGATTTTACACTTTTTTGTATTTTCTGTTACCTACAATGGAATGCATTATTAGTTTGATTAGGGGAAAAAATCTTTGGAAATATAAAAGAATTAACCTATTACAGTTTTTGCATTTTGAAACAGAAAAGCTTGGGTTTTTGTAGCACTTAATATTACCAAGATATGGATAACTGTTCATGTCCCATTGGAGAAAGGGGACATAATCTGTAAATCTATAAATTTAGAAACTAACTGCCAAATTTTCCAACTAGTTTCTTTACCCATCATTTTCACCTTTGTACTGCATTGACTGATTTTCTGCCAGCTTGATTTTAGCTATGGCCTAACTATACTATTTCCTCACATTAATGTGTATGACTTACTTAAAGGAAGATCTGTTATTTAAGTCTGAGAGTTTTTTGGATAATGATTTTGTTACATTTCTTTGAATTTCTGCTCCTTTAGGAGCAGATTCTTCTATACTGTGCAAGCACGCCTTCTACACAGGGCATTCTCCTAAAGACACAGGGCATTCTCCTAAAGTAGTCTCCATCCCTTCTAACACTCTGGCTCTTCTAACCTGATAGGCGAAAAAGGACATTTGGCATAGGACTTGTACTCTAGTGCTGCTTCTTGACCACTGATAGCAAAAGTAGCCAATACTTATTGACTGTTACGTGCCAGGAACTGTTTAATGCTTTACATGTATTATCTCAAGTAGTCTTACATTAACCTTCTGAACAAGTTACTCTTGTTGACACAAATGTCTAGAGAAGTTAAGTAGCTTGTTAGTTCAAGGGCATACATCTAAGAATTAACCTTGTGTGGATAGGAATCATGGTCTTCTAAAATGAGAGGTCTTAAATATCACTATCAGTAAATAACCTCTTCTCTTATGACATCAGGTCACCTGATTATACAACCCTTTCTCTTTCTTTGCCATAAGCAAAGATGATATGAAGTGAACTGAGCCATCATTAAAGACTTTATCTTCATTGATTTTCATATTGGTCCATTCAGAATCTGGGCCTCATTATTGTTATTATTATTTTAATTTTTAACTTTAATGGTTCTCCAAGTTTTTTTATTCTCACCTGAGGACATGTTTCTATTGATTTTAGAGAGAGAGGAAAGGGGGGGGGAGAGAGAGAAACATCGATCGGTTGCCTCCTGTACATGCCCGACCAGGCATTGAATCCTGCAACCTCGGTATTCCCCTGACCAGGAATTGAACCTGTGACTGTAGAGGAGGATGCTCCAACCAGCTGAGCCACACCGACCAGGGTAAGGGCCTCATTGTTTTTTACCTCAACTTCAACTAATATCAGCTCTCTACTTCACCTCTTCTAAGATCTCATCACTAGGAATTGCTCTGCTGTTAATATTTCAAAAGCTGAACTAGCCTTCTGGTTGATATAATCCCCCTGATTCTTGTTCTACTGATGAATATGCTATTTATCATCATCATTGAACCTTGTGTAGACAAGAAAGTCAGACACAGGACTCCTGTTATGCCCAGTGTGTTCAAGTGAGCACTGACAAGGTGATGTTGCACAAGAAGGATACCCGTATTTAATGGAAATGTTAGAGATGATCATCAAGTTAAAAGGAATGACATGTTTTTAACCCAAGAAGACCTCTAATTCTTAAGCATCGGGGCTTCAAATAATTTGCTTTTAGGAAATCTCATTGCATGTAGATTAAGTTCAAGGAAGAGCAGGGGTTCATAAGTTGAGAGGACTTGAAACTTAAAAGGGTGACTGTGGTTAGTTGGTGGGTGCACTACACAGTTTTAAAACGAGTCCTTGCAGGAAAAAGAGAAGATGAGGTGGGAAGTGATAGGGGGTGAGACAAGGGGCGTTACAGGAAACTCCCCTTCTCTCATTGGACTGAACTTTTCCAGGGCAAGGCCCATAATTTGCTTATTTCTGTCTCCGAGGTCTGTCATAGAACGTGATGCAGTAAATATTTGTTGAGTGGACTTCTAAATCTAGAAACTGAAATAATGTCTAATGTTATTTTCATGGAAATGCAAAGCCTCTCTGCTCTGTCTTGCCCTAGTGTGATTTCAAAAAGCCTTTTGTGAAAAAGAAGAAAATCAGATAAATCAAAACCAGCATATGGCTTTTTTAAAGAACGGCTTTTTCTTGTAAGTGGAAGTACCTCTCTGAAAGTTCACGGAGTTGTTAGCCCGAGACCCTGAGACAGTTACTTTTGCCATTTAAAGCCCTTGGCAGTGTCCCCCTCCCTCTGGAATCCTATTTATAAACTGGTGATTTGGGGTTGAAATACACTCTCCTTTGATGACATTGTATTCAGAGTGTTTTAATACCATTGGAAGGGATGGTTTCTCTAAGTGTGGGGGTGGAAGGTAAAAAATTTTCCGTTCTTGGACCTTGTCCAAGCTGTAGGTTTTATTGAATACTTTCAGTTTTTTATACACATTATTAAACGAGATAATATAGTTATGAGGAATCTGGAATCCTTCACGTAATAGGTAAAGTACATAATATGTATTTTATAAATGATAGCATTTTAAAGTTTATTGTTAAAAATGATAAAGGGATGGTCTAGAGGTAGGAAAAAGAAGAGAGATTGCTTAAAAATTTTTTATTGTTTCCTGGAGAACTAAATAATTGGAAGTTAGTCTGCGTGTACATTGTCAACATCTTTAAATGTGATTAGGTCATTAGTTTAAAACTAGCCTTTAAACATTTTTTTAATAGAAAACATCTAAATAACAGTTGAACTGATCCATAGGTTCAGAGAACAAGATGATGGTTGCCAGAGGGGAGGGTGATGGGGAGATGGGTGAAAAAATGACAGTTGACTTAGTAATGTTGAATGTATGTTTATGATAAAAATGTCTGCTCCTGTTGAAAGTAATGCATTGAAATCAGTGTGTTCTAGGTCAATGGCCTCTAAGACTCCAGTTGGATTCATTGGACTAGGCAACATGGGGAATCCAATGGCAAAAAACCTCATGAAACATGGCTATCCACTTGTTATTTATGATGTGTTCCCTGATGCATGCAAAGAGTTTCGAGAAGCAGGTGAACAGGTAAGGTCTTTTCGTAAGATTTTGATGTTTAAAAATAACAAGTGACAGCTTCTTAGTATACCCAGTGGTGGTGTAAACCCGATTGCTAATTTTATTTCTTTCTCTCTGTCCATAACATATATATATATAGGTGACTGTGTATTAATAACTGAATTTAGAGTTTTGTATTTCTAAGATACGAAGGAAATTCTTGTACAAGTTGTAGAGCGGTAACTGAGGGCTTAATGTAATCCCAGAACTGGGAGAATATTAAAAGAATTCTGAGAAATATAGAAAAAGGTGAGAGAGAAAATAATATAGTCAACTTTTGGATAATAGACTTGAAATAAATACTGAGAAACACAATGCCCTATGTGAAGAGCAGGTTCAGGCAACTGGGAGAGAGGCCATTTGCAGAACGGTTTTCTCCAGCTCCTTCCCTGCACGGCCTGTGTGCCATGTGGGGCAGCACCAGTGCTAGATGAGGATCCTCTTGGAACTTTTCAGGGTAGGGTTGTGGCTGCTTATGCCCACAGCCTGAATACTGGCACTAGCATGAGTTCAGTGAAGCTTGCAGACTGCGGTAAGTGAAAAAGAAAAGAGTTTCATTGGTTTTTAGTAAAATGTACAATACATTGGGTGCAAAGGCAGTTAGGGAAGCTCTCTGAAAACTAGACATTTCACCGGATAGCAGAATAGGATTTCTCTAGATGAAGAAAGGATGAACAAGTAGTTTTCTTTCCTAGTGGAAGCCTCAGTTTCCAGGTTTCTGGAGATTTCTCTTTTAGCTTAGCATGTCAGCTAGAGTCCCTGCCACATGTCTAGCAGTCCCCCCTGTGCTGCGGAGAATGGAAAGGTATGAGTTGGATACCGCAAGGCATCAGATGCGTCTCAGGTTGCAAGATAAATAGCATTACAAGGAAGTTGCTTCTAAAATTGTATTTTGACTCTAATAAAGTGCTGAAACATTTTTTTGAGGAGGAAAAAATAAATAACTGTTAAGAGTAACTTCATTTCTGGTAGGAAACTACACCGATATTGTGTATAATCTTTAGTCACCTTCAAACAGAAATGAAATGAAATGAAAGTTATGGAGACAAGGTGTCTCAGATTCCTGAAAGTAAATGAGAAAGTTCTGGGACACAGACTGAACTATTAGACTTTCCTTTTTTCCATTTTCCTTGAGATATGTAAGTGGGTGTGAGGAAGGAAAGAAGTTGGGTTCTGGGTAGCTGCCCCTCGAGAGTAGTGAAGCGTGAAGACTTGTTTTGGCTGCTTTTCTGCAGTTCTCAGCCCTGCCCCCAAGCACGGTGGGAAAAATTCTGTGTGTGGTTCACACTGAAGCAGCCAGCCTGGAAGACGGAATCTTTTCCCACATCCCATCTCCCTGTCATCTCTGGTTGCCCAAGAGTCTGGACTCTAAGAGGTCCTCTGAGTATTGATTATAACAGCAATGGAGGGTAGGAGAATGTGAAACATAGATGAATGAAGGGAGAGAGATAAAGGGTAAAAAAGCTTTGGGCCTGAGGGGAAGTATCGTGTCTTAATAAAATGAAAACATTTGTTGACAAATGATTTATGCTAGCAGCTTGCAAAACGTTCTGAACAGTGACAGTGTCATTTGAACACGTGTGCTCTCCTAAGAGCACTACTTCAAAAGGTCCCATTAATTTGGATGAATACATTCTGATATAGTAAAATGTCACTGTTATTTCATAGTTATATTTTGTTTTAAAATTTTTTGGGTAAAAGAAAATATGAGTTTCATTCTACTACAAGGCAAAGACAAGACTAAGGATGTGAGAAAACTGTAGGTGAAAACCTTGAAACTTCTTGTCATTGTGCACAGTGGTGCAATGAGGGGATTACGGTTTAGAAATCAGAACACATCTGAGTTGACTCTAACATTTTAAGGACAAGTATCCCCTTCTTCCCACAATGTTACTATGTCAAGTGAAGCTGACAAAACAGCACCCCAAGAAAAGAGGGTTTTTCCCCACCAAAGATTGCAGAATTGCTGGCTAGTTGATTTCTGATGTCTACTGTGGTGGGTTTTTGTTGTTGTTGTTTTTCAATAAAATATGTCTATTGATTTCAGAGAGAAAGGGAGAGGGAGAGAGAGAAACATCAATGATGAGATAATCATTGATCTGCTGCCTCCTGCACACCCCCTACTGGGGATCGAGCCCCCAACCCAGACATATGCCCTGACCAAGGAATTGAACGGAGATTGCCTGGATTGTAGGTTGATGCTCAACCGCTGAGCCACTACGGCTGGACTCTACTGTGTTTTTAGTGGGAAATTTGCAGGGAAGAAAAGTACCAAAATAGACATATCTGGGTCAGAAGCAGTCGACTGGTTCTAAAGATCTTTGGACGTCTCCTTGAAGAAGTGCTATTTCTTTTTTCTTTTTTTTTTTTAAAGCAAAAACTGGGGATTTATTGTGTCATCTCACTAAGAGTTGGGGAGTGGTCTCGCCCCAGACACAGCCGAATTTTGGGCGCAGCTGTAGTCAGGGACCTTTCTGTCTGCCTCTTGGCTCTGCTTTCTGTGGGCAGGATCCTCCCTCCCCTCAAGGGGCGAGATGGGCACCTGCTGATCCAGTTGAAGAAATACCTTGGAATGTTCCAACCAGGGTTTTTCCAACCTCTACCTCATGGTGAAAATACTCCATGGGTTCTGAAGGGAATCAAACCTTTGACATGTTAAATATGTTTTACATCACTGTTTAACCAGCTTGTTTATGCCTTTAAATGTCAGCCTATTCTATTAGGGCACTTATAATTGATTAAATGTTATTTGTGGTCATTTCCATAGAAATTGTGTGTATTTGTCTTTCAGAATCCCTTTATTATACCCTTATTTCTGTTGGGAACTCAGGTTTAATGTACAATGCATCATTTCAACTTTCAGCATCTTTTCTGAAAATATAACCCATGACAACTGTTACTAGGCCTTTGTATATTAGAAATCATGAATCAATAAATTGTGAATGTAGTGGTTTAAAAACATAAGCTGTGGGACCAGACTGTCTGGATTCACATCTCAGCTTTCTATGTGCTGGCTGTGTGACTTCAGACAAATTTTTTAACTTCTTCTCTGCTTAAATTTTCTCATTGTCTAAAATGGGGATAGTAATAGTACCTTCCTCCTAGTCCTAGAGAACCTGGCACATAGGAAGTGTGGGATATTACTACTGTTACGAATATTGCTGTGTCTGTAACACATTTCTCCCAAATCTTCACTCCCCAGCACCACACAGAGAAACATACCACTGTCTTGGCTGAGCCTTTGAGTCAGAGGGCTTTGGAAGAAAACTGTAGACAAATTTTAAAATGAAAGAATGATGATAAAAATTAAAACCAAACTAGGAGAGAGTGATTTGACAGTATCCCTGCTTAGGAATATATTCTGCACCATCCCTTCTGGGTCACTTTGATTTTGCAGGAGATACAGATTTCACTTTATAAGTGTTAGCATCAGGGGCACGTGACTTGTGCTTCATTTTTATTTTCATTGTCTAGGAATTTCCTTGGAGATGCCACTGATGTATGCCAAAAGTCTTGCACCACTTCTGTTGAGTTTTCTGGTTGAACTAGGCTTAATTGGATTCTCTTTTGTTTTCTCTTTAAGAACTTGGAAAGCATCCTATTGTTCGTGGATTGTAAGGCTGAACATGTCTGGTTAAGTAATTCTCCTAGGATCTAATCTGGCATCCACTCAGGTCTTGTTAAATGAGAACTTTAAAAGCGTCTTGCTGAGTGGGCTCCATCACTGTTGACCAAATGTTTCAAGATGTAGGCACAAACCGTTTTTGTCACTGTTTTAAGCATAGTGTGATTTTGAACTAACAGCATGCTTTTCTACTTGGAAAGATTAAAAAACACCAAGTGCCAAGTTTAACCAAGGTCGTCGTGTTCATCATTTCTTTGCCAGTTTCTCTTACCCACTTACTTGGAAGTAGTGCTGAGCTTGACTCATGTGACTGTTTTGTCTAGAAGAGAGAGCGAGATTTTTCTCTTTACATAAAGCAACTAGTTAACAGTTGTTTCCCTCCAGTGGATATGCATAAAGGTAATCCTTCCGATTAACCCAGGGCCTGATATCCCCATTCTTCCTTCTTCCCTTCACCCCGCAAAGCAGGTTTTGTCTTTAGTTTATCTAGTCTTCTACCCTGTACTGCACACCTGCCAGTGATGTGTACTAGCATGTAGATGAATCTAAATCCAGAGACATTGGCTACAAAAACTTGGAAAGACTGTAGATATCATGATACACAAGGGAACAAATCTCCTGTAGTGAGAATTGAGATAGTGGAAAAGTAGAGGCATCCTAATTCATAACAGCATACAAATGAGGCCGTTGGAATGAGCCGGAGATTGTTCTGGGATGGCCATGCCAATCAGAGCATAGCCACGGCCCAGGTCCGCCAGCTCAGCGACTGTCCACAGATGCGGCAGTGCAGCAGAGTCCTGCTAGTGCTATACGTTTGTTCTGAGTCATTGCAGATGCCTCCTATCCCATCAGCCCCCCCTCTTTTTTTACAGAGGCTGTACCTTCCTAGAACTTAAAGTTTCTAAATATGAAAAGTCTCTTTGCCTATGTATCCTTTTTACTTTGGAGATAGAAACCCTTAAAGATCACCCAAATCACTCTTCTTCTTTTGTAGATTCAGAAACCGAGGCCAGAGAGGTTAAGTGATTTGCACAAAATCACATGTAACTTTAGTGGTTGAGCTGTAACTAAGCCTGGGTGTCTGGCTTCCCAAATTAGTGTTCCTTTCACTGATCCATGCTGTCTTTGCTTATCCATTCAATTAGCAAATGTAATTGAAGGGACTCTAATTAGTTTGGCTCCTAAAGGCTTTTGTGGTTACTGTCAGACGGGCAACAAGGTTTGTTTTTTTCCTCCCAGTTTTGAGCAGTGGCCAAATTTTGTCAGTCAATTATTTCAGACTCTTGAAGTCATCACATGGAAGGCAAGATGATGTGAATAGCTGGACACACATGTCTGTCTATCTGTCTAATAAACATGCCTTCTGTAGTATAAATTAGAAACTTATTATAATGTACCAAATATATCTAGTCATTAGCTATAGCGCCGATGTGGCCAGTACAGTGGTGACATTCCAGCTATCACCATCATTGCGTGTTTTTTCCGGACCTGTGAGCTTTGACACTACTTTCCTGTGTAATTGAGGGGTTAGCGGTCCTCTGGCAACCCAAGCATCCCAAGAAGCAGATGCTAGGGATGCAGGGGGCTGATTGGCCACCCCATGCACTTGGCAGTTGCATGAATTGGCACTGCCAGTTCATTGGCATGAGAACCTTGGAGGTGTGAGGTATCTTTAGGTCTGTGAGCCAATTGTTAGTGCCCCTGAGGGCACCTCTCAAGGAGTTATCTAGATGGAATTGAATTTCCGTCAATGGAAGAGCCTTTCTCAATTCCCAAGAGAAAGTCTGAAATTGACTCTTAGACCTCAAGGCTTACTGCAGTCCCTGGAAGATTTGCCATAGAAGGAAGGGCCCTAAAGGTATGCCATTGTTTTGCATTGTGTTTATTGCTTCATTTAAGTAGGAATGAACAGATGGGGCTCTCTGTGTAACCCTTATTCTCAATACAGTCCAGGAGTAGAGAACTATGACTCCGACAACTTTTCCTTTTCTTATTCATCTTACTGAGTTGTGTTTTTCTTGAGAAAACTTGAACTGTTTGCCAGGAAATAGTTGTCTCTCTTTGAATCTCAGTATTTATTTGGGTGTAGGAAGGGTTTGCATTTAGCCTAAGTTTTTTTTTTTAAAGATTTTTTTTATTGACTTTTAGAGAGAGAGGAACGGAGAGGGAAAGAGAGAGAAAAACATTGATGTGAGAGTGAAACATTGATCTGCTACCTTCTGCACGCCCCCTACTGGGGATCGAGCCCACAACCTGGGCATGTTCCCTGACTGGGAATCATAAACAGGCAACCTTTCAGTGCACAGGATGCCCAACCAACTAAGCCACACTGGCTAGAGCAACTTAACTATTTCTTTGTAATTGATGGTAAAAAAATTTTTTCAGAATTATTTGTGGCAAATCACCATGACATATTAAAATATACAAGTTGAATATGCTGCATCGTAGACTCTAAAATGCTATGTTGCCTTTAGAATGAAACAATGAAACAGAATATATTTTGTTTTCATTGTTTTAGGGTCTGAGATGTTCAATGTTATTATTTAGTGTTAATACACAAAGTGCTGGAATACTTGAGTGTGTGAAATTTTAAAGTATCACTTAAGAAACTTATGTTAAAACCTCATTTATCTAGAACTTGATTTAGAAGGTGATAATCTGTTATGGAAAATTGAATTGTAGTTACTTCTAGCTCATAATATTTTGGGTACACACTGTGTTGGCTTCCCATTCGCTTTCATCAGCTGTGCATCAAAGACAAGAAAATGTTCCGTATATTTTCACCACGTGAAAAGCAGAGGCTTTTCTGTTCCTAAGATGCTTACATGTTACTTCATATTTTCTAGTAGAAATCTGTCAATTTCTAATACATATGTCAGTCATTCTAAGGAGAAATCTTCATTTATCCTCCTGATAATCTTCTGTCTTTTTCTAAAGAGAGATACGGCTTCACAGGAGCTTTTGTGACAGTTGGGGTGATGGATTCTTTCTGTTAAAAGAGAGTTTGAGTCAAGGAGTGAGCTGCTGGGCTCTTCTGACTCCTTTGGTTGCTGGGTGGCTGGGCAGGGGAATCAAAATGTACATAAGAGAGAGCACAGGGTTGGCAGATGTGTGTGAGGGTGTGTACACCCACGCAGGCACACAGGACGCATAGAGCAACTTCCCAGCATGTTCACGGTCATCATGGAAGCAGAAATGAGGGCTGGAATGAGAGCATGCCTTGATGCCTGTTTGTAGGCCTCTCTCGTGTGTATAGTTTCCACAGGAGCCCGTGAGTCCTGATAGCTTGCGCTCTCAGCCTTCATGGTGGTCCTCATAGTCAGCGCAGGAAGTGCTCAAGTCCCTGTCCTGACCTTTTCTTTTCTGAAACAGGCTGAATTTTTTTCTTCTGAAAATAGATTCTGGAGGATCGGGCCTTGATCCTTTTACTAGGAGATTTTGCTGCCCATGGAAATCACTGGTGAATCCTGTAGTTTGGTTACCAGCCCCTGTTGTACTAGAATGTTTTTCTTAGTCAAAGCATCTACCAAAAAGTATGCTGCTTGAGAATCCAAGTTGGAGGAATCCATGAGAAGTGTGTCTGTTCCCAGGACTGTTGGGTTTTGCCCTTTCCCCTCAACTCACTTCACACTTTTTAAAATAAACAGTAGATTTGATTCCATACAAACTGCATCTGTATGTGTGTAAGGAAAGGACTCTATTTTAGGCAGTAAGCTTTTTTTTTTGTCATTTGGAAACAAGGATGAGTTTTAGTCATGGTCACTGTTATCGGCATGCGTAAAAAGTGGATCCTATGTGTGCTCTAGAAACTACTTACATTTTAATTTATATGTGCCTTTTAAATTTTTTTTAAAGGTTGTGTCTTCCCCAGCAGATGTAGCTGAAAAAGCTGACAGAATTATTACCATGTTGCCCACCAGTATGAATGCAATAGAAGCTTATTCTGGAGCAAATGGAATTCTAAAGTATGTATTTCTCAACTGGGGATATTTTCTCATTATGATAGTTCATGAATTTCACATTTGTTGGAACTATTAAGAAATTACAGTTATGTTTGTTAAAACTTTCCATACTGTTTTCTTATTTCTTAAAAGTGAATGGTGTGGTTTCTCTCTCGTTGTAAAGGGTTTGTTTTTTCACTGAAGTCAAGTATGTGACTTTTGGGAATACTTTTTTTTTCTTTTTTCTATTTCTTTCCTTTAACTCTTGCATTAAACTTATGCTTTCATTGGTAACATGTTTAAGAGACTTTTAAAACTTGCATGTTAAACTGCACAAATGTTACAAGCATAATATGGTTTATAGAAATTCAGGAAAAGGTTTCTATGAAAAATAAAACCAAACATTGGAAAGAACACCATTATTTAACATTTTATTACATAATAAAAAGTTATTGTATGTCCTCTGGGTTAGTACATCTGCAGTAAGAACTTTGAGGAGTTGGAATTAAAGGTTAGCAGTTGCTCTTTAAATAAAATATAACTTAGGTCAGAGTTTCCTAGCCAGTGCCTAGCTTCCCCGGCTCTGAGAACCTTTTGGTTAATTGCTGCCTATTGCCAAACCCTTGTGGTTACATTAGGACAGTGGTTGAATTCCCAATTTAGTTTGCTGGTCTTACTGATTTCTGTTCCTAACTTGTTTTGTTGTTGAATTTCAGCCAAGAGGCAGAACAAACTGGTAGGCCCTGAAGACCCATGAAGGGCTAAAAAGAAAGGGTTTAATTTCATGAAGCTGTAATATGAAATTTGAAGTTTTTGGGAATTGAATTGCTTTGGAAAACTAACAAACTTGGAAGCAAAAGACATTTGGAACACTTGGATATTAGGCAGAAAACTGATAAGATAAATGTTTAGATTCAGGGGAGGTTGAAAGACACTCATTTTGGATGGAGCCCTCAGGCCCACAGTGTGTGTGGTCCTGAGGCGACCTTGCTGTCTCATTACCTAGTCTGTTCCAATTATGGCCCTGCTTTCCCTCTCAGGGAGAAGTTACTAAAAACTTGTGTGGGGACAAATTCTACATTTATTAATATCCTTTACTAAGGAATATGGTGGCCATCTACCAGAGCAGTCTTATCTAGGGAGTGCTTTGAAAGAGTTTGGCTTCACATTGAACTATAATTTGCTTCTCATGGGTAGTTCTTCATTTTCTTCTGGGTCTGGATCATTTCTCCATATGCAGAGCATGTGTCATTTTTGAGATGATTTCCCACTTCTTAAAGATTTAAGATCTTAAAAAATATCAATATCACAGATGACTGGTAAAATTAATTCTTATTTTTTATGTTGCATAAATGAAACTCTACATATTGAGGTGATCTGTATTAGAGTATACTGTTTTATTTTCCTGTGGAGTATACACAATTACTGCATTTGGACCAGATCAATTCATACGTCTAAAATTGTTATAAGCATTTTTTGTGTGTTTTTCCCTATAGGAAGGCTTTTCTTTTCTATTCTTTAGTATTTAGAAATGATTATTTATCCCTTCAATATTTATATTTATTCAATTCTAATTTTCCAGGCATAATTCTGATTAAATGTCTTCTGGGTTAGTTTGTCTGTAGCAAGAACTTTAGGAAGTTTGAATAAAAGGTTAACCGTAGGCCTTTAAATAAATTATAATTTAGGTCAGAGTTTCCTAGCCAGTTATATTATAGATTATAAGGGAAGTATCTAGGTATATAGTCTTCACTTACAGTACAAACAAAAATGTTTTACTATAAGAATGCCATTTAAATACTGGTGTAAAATATGATACATGAAAAGGCTGCTTCCCCCTTTTACTAAAGTATGTACGTAAATTTACCATAAAGAACAAAAAGACTCTGTGAGTTTTCCAGGTTCATTCCTATATTTCCCTTTCTGCCTGTTAGGTATTTTATTTTGTCTTTAAAAAGTTACAGTTATTAAAGAATATACCATCCTGAAGCAAAAGGCTAAATTTCAAATTGCTTACATTTATTCTACCTAGGGAAATAACATGGATATGTGAAAATTGCAATATGGCTGTTTGAAGACAAATCAGTTACTTTTAAAAGAGACCCAGCTACTTTAAAAACAAAAATTTAAATCCTACCAAATACCTCTTTCAAAGTTAATAGATATTTTAAATTGCTTAAATCTTAGCTTACCTATATTATTATGGTTAATGTGTATTTAATCTAAAACCAGAATTTATACCATATAGTTTATTAGACTATTTTGGTTTGTTTGAAAGAGTTTAGGTTTACTTTGAGCTATAATTGATCTGAAAATTAATTTGAGATTTTGAACGACTTTTGATAATTCTTTTAATACTAAGCCAAAGATGACCTTGATATCTGGCAGCTTTTTAGCAGATTCTGATTCTGTAGGTAGTTGCATGAAGTGTGTATTCAGCATTGCAAACTATATTTTTTAAAGTATAGTTTTTAAAAAAACTATCTTTGTATTTGTTTACTTAGAAAAGTGAAGAAAGGCTCACTATTAATAGATTCCAGTACTATTGATCCTTCGGTTTCAAAAGAATTGGCCAAAGAAGTTGAGAAAATGGGAGCAGTTTTCATGGATGCCCCTGTTTCTGGCGGTAAGTGGTATTAAAATACATGCACACCTATTTTTACTTGTCAGAAGTAGCAATTAAGCTGGGTGGAGGGGGCCAAAGAGGGGATGGAGGACATCTGTAATACTGTCAACAATAAAAAATAAATTAAAGCCCAGCAGGGCAGGGCTCAGTGGTTGAGCATTGAGCTAGGATCTAGGAGATTGTGGTTCGATTCCCAGTCAGGGCACATGCCCAGGTTGTGGGCTCGATCCCCAGTTGAGGGCGTGCAGGAGGCAGCTGATCAATGACTCTCTCTCATCGTTAATGTTTCTATCTCTCTTTCCCCCTCTCCCTTCATCTCTCTGAAATCAATAAAAAGATATATTTAAAAATAAATAAATTTTAAAGAAGTAGTGATTAAGGTTTTGTGGTGCCCAAGATATATCCAGTTATTTTTAGACCTATTACAGGGATTCTCAATTCCCTCATTAAAAATAAAAACAAAACAAAATGACTTGTGTTATTTAGTGCTCTCAAAATACATTGCTTACTCTAAATTCAGATAAAAGGATATCACAACTTTGAAAAGTTATAAATTTTTGGTCCAAATTGCTGCGGTAGGGATAGATCAGTTCCTGGAAAATTTAACTTTTCGGAATGGATTTAAGAAATAATTAGCTTGAATAATCGTATAACTCTTAAAGAAGTTGAAGAAAAAGAATAAAAGGAAGACATAATTTCATATAGAAAACATTAGGCCCAGATGATTTTATAGATGAATGTTACCAAAATTTCAAGGAGCAGATCATCTCAGTTTTATACAAATTTTTTCAGACACTAGAAAAAGAGCATATGCTTTCCAACTAATTCTGCAAGACCTGTACAACTCTGATACTTAAACCAGACGGAAACATTATGAGAGAAAAATGATAGGTCTATATCGGTCATGAATATAGAAGTAAAAACTTTAAAAAGTATACCAGGAAACTGAATTTAACCATGCATAAGGGAGATCAACCTCTACAACCAAGTTTGGTTTATCTGGTATACGCACAGATGGCTTAATATTAGAAAATCTATAAATGTATTTCATCACATTAACTTATTTAAAAATCATATCTCAATCAGAACAAGGAGACCCACTAATAAAATTCTCAAAGCTGATTATTATATCAAATATTAATAGTGACTATCTGGGTATTTTGGAACGGCAGGATTGTGGGTATTATGATTTTCGATAATTTCAAAATTTTCCAAAATTATTGTATAATTAAATATCATATGTATACATACAGACAGACACATATGTATATACACACATATGTAATTATAATGGTATAGCAGTAGACAGTGGAATAGCATTTGTATTCCAATTATATTAAACTTGATTGTAGGCTTTGGAATTAAGAAATAACAAAATAATTTAAATCAGTTTCTGTTTTTTCATAAAGAACCTAATGGTCTCGTAAAGAAAGGTGTCTTTCTTGTAAATATAGGTGGAGGTATAAATAATTGTTAGCCCCTTTGATTACTATATGGATTTGGTTAAGTGAGATTTAGGTGTAAAGATTTACAATGTGACATAGGCACTTTTTTTTTTATTGTATGATTTTTATTTTCTTAATTTTTATTTTTAATTAAATTTTAAAATTAAATTTATTGGAGTGACATTGGTTAATAGTGATGTAGGCACTTTGATCACAAAATACTAATAACCAACTTTAAACATGGTGTTGCTAAACTGAACAGTTCTTCTTTGGTTCTGTAATTGAATTTGAAAATTGATCTTGCTGTTGATCTTTTTTTGCTTTGAGAGTATAGCCTAAAATTATCATTTTATAATGAATAGTACCAATTTGATTTTTAAATGTTATTTTAACTTTTAAAATAGAATCTTCTATGTGATAAAACTTTGAAATTACTCTTTTGTTCCTATTAAGCTATTTTTAAACCCTAGTTTGTAGTTTTAAGGTGCAAAAAATGCTAGTTTATAATAGTGCATATACTTGAAGCTGAACCATTTTATAGATTGAAAGTTTTGTGTAGAGATGGTTTGTGATAATTTATTGTTTGACACATGGTCATTATGTAATTTGTAACAGAAGCTTCTACTTATCTTCTCATAGTTATTTTTATATTTTTAATTTGGTAGCTTGTAAATGGCTCCACTTTCTCAGTTAAAATAAAATAGAGGACATTTTCTGTAAGTTAAATAGGCTGATTTAAAAAGTCATTACATTTTAACTAAATAAAATTAAGGAAGGGGGACCTGGGTAAAAGCATGGCGTAGATACCCATGATAGGCCCGCAATTTCATAGAAGTTCCATACTCATCAACCTTGAAACACAGAATGTTTCAGGTAATTTGAATAAAACCTTAAGATGTTCCCCCATATTATCCCTTTCTCTCTACCCCTCATGGGCTTAGCCATCTGACTCACTTTGGCCAGTGGTATGTTAGCAAATTTTACACAGGGATAGACTTCAGAAGCACTTTGTACATGGAGTCTCGCCCTCTCTTGATGCTGGGAACTCCTCCACTGCTGCTAGAGAAGCCTGGGCCAGCCTGCTGGAGACAAGGCTGACCACCAAGCACGTGAGTGAGGCCATCTTGACCACCCAGCCTGAGTCAAGTTCCCAGATGACTGCGCCTACTTAGTGACCTCGGGCCTGACCAGCAGTGAACTGCCCAGCTGTGATAGTCCAGATTGCTCACCCACAGAATTGTGAACAAATAAAGCCACTAAGTTTTGGGGCAAGTGTTAGGTAGCAGTAGATAACTGATGGAGCCAATGTGGTTGATATTCCCGCGATTATGCCGAAGTTTTGTTACTTATTGTATCAATTAGTGTGCTACCTGTACTTATTTAGTTTAAGTGTTATAAACCCCTTTGGAAGGAGAGTTATTGTAACACACTTAGCGTAAAGGCTGACTTTAATGCCAAAGCTAAGTTGCTCAAATATTTTATTATTAAGCTAGTTCAGAAAACAGGTATGTCTGCTATAAACAGGCACCTGACTTATGTCTCTATATTTCTGATTACAAAGGAGAATGTTTATGTGTTACCTAAGGAGATACCCTGGTGAACTGATGTGAGATACTTTTCCTGATCTTACTAAATCTTGGTAGATGGCAAAAATTTAGTAAATGTCATTTTGGTATTCTCATGGATGGTTGGGGTTAAATAGTATGTTTAGCTTTTAAGTGTTTCTTGTGCTCTTAGAATTGGGTTTTATTATTAGAAGGGACTTTGGCAATAATTTAATTTGACTCTGTTATTTTGTAGATGACAAATTGAGGTCCAAAGAAATTAAGTCACTTGCCCAGGGCTCTCCAGCTTGATAGCAGATCTAGAAGTAGAATCCCGCTTTCCCAGCTCAACAGAAGGTTTTCCCACCTTTGCCAGACTATCCCTTCAGTCCCATTCTGTGGTTGCCTTCTCTCTTTTTCATAATAGTTGCCTATTGTTGACCTGATTTCTACAATTTTATCTTCCCCAGGTTGGTTCTCAGTCTTCTGTCTTGCTAGCTGACAGGCACTGCCATGGAGTGAAACCCATGGGGTGTGTGTGTGTGTGTGTGTGTGTGTAGCAGTTGCCTTCTTTTCCAACCCTCAGAGGTTGGCTTCTAACATGGAAGAGGGTGAACATTTCTTCCCCAGAGTCACTTGAGAAGAAATGGTTTAGAAGCTGTCAAGTTAGAACCTGCAGAACCCTGGATAGATCAGATCGGTCCTGTTGTGTTAGCCCCATCCTGGAGTGTTTATTAACTGGCTGTCAGGAGTCTTTTGTTCTACTGATGGGTTGGGATAGAACCAGAGGTGTTTTGTTTTGTTTTTTGTCCAGCTGGCTGGTTAACCAGATAAACCTGTTGGAAAAGAGAAAGTAAAGTGATATTTGGACATGTCTCTAACATGTGTGCTTTTCACTGGGTCAGGATCTGTTCTGAGGTTTGAGGACTTGGAGTTGAACAGGATTATATCTGAAAGCAGGTGGATGAAAGGACTGTTTTATATAGCAAGAACGAGGCTATTTTCCATGTCCTTCTGTGCTCCCTTAGTGTGGTATCTGTGCCTTTGCAAGGGTACTGGGTTATGCCTGTTTCTTCCACTAGACTCCGAAGAGGGTCTACCTTCTACCTCCAGTGTGTATTTTCCAGTGGGCATTTAATAAAGTATGGTTGATTGGATCAAGACTCTTCTATTTTTTTTAAATATATCTTTATTGATTTCAGAGAGGGGAAGGGAGAGGGAGAGAGAGAGATAGAAACAATCGATGAGAGTCATTGATCGGCTGCTTCCTGCACGCCCCCAACTGGGGATCTAGCCCGCAACCCGGGCATGTGCCGTGACCGGGAATCAAAGCACGATCTTCTGGATCCTAGGTCGATGCTCAAATGCTGAGCCATGCCTGGCCAGGCAAGACTCTTCTATTTTTTAAATTCAAGGTTAATGTTAAATATTTTAAGCCTTCCTGAAGTTATTTCTCCTTTCCAAGCTGTTCTCCAGGTTATCTTCAGATTATTGACTTCTCTCTCAAGTTAAACTAAGTAACTGCCTCTCCATTCTTTCATCAGTCAGGTAGTATTTACTGTGTTTAAAATGTTATATTTTATTATTAGATGCTATTGGGAAGTGTGATTGTGATCAAAGTGGTGAGGTTGGGATAAAAGAAGTAGAATAAATAAATATTCAGAACAACTTAAAGAGGAAGTCCTTACATTAGAAGTTTAGAATTTAGGAAAATATACTAATAAAATGATTTGAGAATATTTACAGAGTGCAAAATAATGCAGTTTGGCGGTATTCCCAATACTTAACAACCAAAAGGGAATGATGCTTCATTAACTGTGGTCACAGCAGCATGCTAGGCAGCATAGAGAAACACTGTCTTTGTCCTACCTGGGGTGGCTATTAAGACTTATTTTGACTTTTAGCTTATATTCGCCTTTATGGATATTTAAAGGGAGGGAGTAACACCAGATTTGATTTACACAGCTGAGTCCAGGGCAATAGAAGGATTTTTAGTTCTGAATTCAAAAGT